AAGAGCGTGTGCCGTCACCAGATGCTGTGCACAGCGCCAGAGATGAGTGACTATGTGCACGGCATCCGCCCAGAGCGTGTGCCCGTCACCAGATGCTGTACACGTCACCGCGGTGAGTGACTGGGCAGACGGTATCCACCCAGAGCATGTGCGTGTTGGCCACTAATCCAGACCACAGCGCTGTGGCGAGTCGGTTCATAGTGTCCGCCCAGAGCGTGTGCGTTCTTGTGGATGCATGTGTACAGCATCCGGGCAAGTGAGTCGGTGCACAATATCCGCCCAGAGCGCGTACTCTCTCACACCGGTGCTAATGAGCACTTGTGGATGGAGCGGCGTCTAATTCGACCCCTGCCGACCCCTACTAGTCCTCATAACTATGAGAAAAGGCGGGCAAAATAAAAGAGCGTGATTTGTACGACATGAATAAGAAGTCGAGTGATCCAGGTAAGACACGTGAGACCAATAACGAAAGTCGAACCCGGAGAACGTACGATTGGTGCTATTAGTGTAGCCTGAACGCAGGTGCAACACCGAATACTTCCATGTCGAAGACAGCGCCTGAGGGAGCGAGCGCGGCGTGCTCAGCGTGGTCGGAAGCCGTCGTGGGCTGTAAGGCTCGTTGGCGCGGGGGCAGAGGAAGCGGGGCAGGACGTCTGATATATTTTGTGCGCGGGGTGGCAGTCCACTTCCATGCCGGAGAAGCAATGGCAGATGGCGGTGAGATGTCGCGAATGCGGAAGGTAAGGAATACGGTGAGTTCCCAGCCGACACGTGATCCACAGACTTCAACTGTGACATGACCATCCCAGAACACCTTGAATCGAACTATCTGCCCCACTAAGTTGATCCATGTGCGCTGAGGGCGAGAGCGGCGGCGGCCCATCCATAGGGATATGAAGTCTCCTTCGCACAGGAGCCCTCGCCAACTACCGTCCAGTTTGGCAAAGACATTCTCATATTGACTGAGATAGGTGTTGACATAAACACGCCGAAAACCGAGTCCTGAGGTAGTGGAAATGTCGTGTGACTGTGCTCGCTGGGAAAGAGTGCGAGAGTCGATGAACGCGCGCATTGCGTCGTATTCCACGCGGTTGTGGCACTTGATGCGACGAGTGACTCCAGGCCACCAGTCAAAACTCGGTCGATCGGCGGAAGGAGACCAGCCAAGCTGGACATCGGCATCGAAAGGAGTGAAAGGCAGCGGGCGAAGAGAGCGAATGGCTTGCATACTTGTGAGTAGAACAGAAAATAGGGAAAATATATGCGGGACGGCAGTATGTATATACTCGGGGAGAAAAAGAAATCAAGGGTCGAGGTGACGGACATGATGGGCGAAGCACGACAAGGAATGATAAGCGAGAGTGGCTGAGAAAAAATTGTGAAAACCACGTAATATTAAGCGTATGGTAGCAGTGGCGAGCACTAGTGGCAGCCACAATCAGCGCGAGCCGTAGACGCCACTCGCACACGAACTAAACAACGCGCCTGTTCCTGGCTCTGTCAAAGCATAGATGCAGAGGGTAGCATCAGCACACGCCACCAGCATTCACCGTGTCCCGTGTTATTACTCAGTAAACCGTATTTAAGCGGTGTTGACTGCATCTGTACAGTGACAACAAACAACGCAGCTTGATCCACAGGTGTAAGAAACATACCTCCACTGGTCGCCCTGCACCGGCCGAGAACACTGTGGCGTATTCTTTGATTTTCCCGATCGGAAGTAAGCAGCCGCCACGCGCATGAGCAGCGCATCTTCGCAGGTCGCAGACGATCGTTAATAACGGCTGAATTACAGTACGTGAATTAATTAAATGTACGTGTATGACGGCGTGGTGTTGCCGCCGACATAGAGCGACCGCCAATGGCGACCACATTTGAGCAGCAGCAACAAATCATGTTTGGCTTTGCGAGGCGATGCGTGGTCGCCAGTGGCGGGCACTATCAGTCAGCATTGTATAAAATCCGATTTACGTGCATTCCTTGAGTGGTGAGAAGACTGTGTTCCCGGGAGAGCGGCAAGAGAAGAGCAGGGTGTATTGCAGCTCATCTTAAACTCCGCTATCTAATTATCTGGATCATTCCCATGCCCTTGCTCGCAGTAGCTCGCGGCCTCAAGATCTCCAACCGGCTGCTTTATGACGCCACACTGTACCACTCTGGGTGTCATATATTTGCACATGGAGACTCGAAGCGTGGG